TTCTATATCTATATGTATATTATTAATTAATGTTATAAATTATATATATAGAGAGGGAATTATAATAATACAGGTGTAATTTTTACTAAGTATTACACTATTCAATAATTTTATATTAAATGTGAATTTTGTAAATTCAACAGTTAAATTGAAAACTCTCTCTTAGATTATATATACAAATTTTTATATTGATCCAAGATGATTTGATACTTCATTCTTATAAAATAAAATTGACATAATATATACATCTCAAAATATACAAAAACATGAACATTTTAATTATCTTTAAATTATTGTTCAATTTTAACAAATTTTAATATATACGTATAAAGTGATATAAATTAAATTTCAATCTAATGGTTGAATTTACAAAATTCACATTTAATACAACGTTATTAAATGGTGTAATAATACCGGTATAACTTTTACTAAGTATTACACATTAATAACGTTATATTAAATGTAAATTTTGTAAATCCAACCGTTAGATTGAAAGTTTATATCACTTTATATGTTTATATCAAATTTTGTTAAAATTAAACAATAACTTGAAGGTAATCAAAATATTCATATTTTAGTATATTTTGAAATATATATATTATGTCAATTATATATATATATATATATATATATATATATATTAAAGTTTAGTTTCGATATGAACTAAATTAATTAAAATTTAATATTTGTTGGTTTAAATATCATATTCACACATTAAATTTGAACAAAACTAATTATTTATGAATTATTTCTTTTGTTAACATAATAAACATCAAATATTATTTTGAGACATTTTTTTTTGCATTCAATTTCATATTCAAAGTTTTACGAATAACATTTATAATTAGTATTTTAGTCTGTGTAATACACAAATAAGATATTTATTATATATTAGTGAGATTGAGACATTTCGTGTCTCTATATTAGTGACTTTCTACCTATACGATGTTAGGCGTGGATTTTGTGGCATCTGACATGGGATAGCTAGAGGTTCTTTGCCTAAATAACATTGGGCATAGGTTTAGTTATGTCGAGCATGATTGATATAGGGGTTCTTTGCCTCATTTACATCAAATGCACGTGGATTAACTCTAGGCATGAGTGAACTAGAGGCTCTCCACCTTAATGATATGTTGGGTGTTGGGTGAATGACGTCGGACGTGGTTATGTTGAAGGAGAACTTGTTGTTTAGTTGTTTGAGTGTTGGAAATATGTTAAGTATATTGATTACTTACATGATATATGATGTTGTATGATTTTAGTTCATTATATATTGATCTAAAATAATATATAATGATGTTTAAGTTGTAATATATATGCTTATGAATGAAAGCTAGTTGAGTTGTAAGTTGTATGACGATTAAAGTTGTATAAAGTAAGTTAATTACAGTTGTTAAGTTGTATAGACATATGATGCATGTTTAAGTTAAGATACATAAAAATTAGAGGAGAGTAAAGTTGTTTTAGAAGTTAAAATATCTCATTGTGTGGATATAAGTTGTAGTCCTCTGAGAGTCCAAATTTGAAAATCCTTTAATGAGTAAATTGCCTCTTGAATGAGAAATTATTTTTAAGTTGTTTCCTCTAATTTTTATGTATACTATTATGGGGTCTAGGTCAAACCATACTGATTAAGAATTGATCAATTGAGTAAGGTATGAAGTTAAGGATTAAAATCCTTAACTAATTACAAAAAATGTACACAATATTTGGAGGGTAGTCGACAAACTAATGTCATATTAGGTTTAGTTATGCATACTAAGATCATATTAGGTTCACACCTTAGTTGTTAGAGACTCCCATAAGTTGACATGCATGACGACACATTAGTTGTTTAAAGTTGTTAAATTGTGCCTAAAGTTGCTTGTATTGAGAAAAATTATAAGTTGTGAATGATGATTGAAGTTGATATTATGCTTTGAGCTAACTTATTGATATAAGTTGTTTATGTTGCTTGAGTTGTAACCTCATTACTTGTTATTATGTTATTTCTTTCACAAACTCATTTTTTTTCCTTGTTAAACAATGATCATATTTGGTATGAAAGTAAAATAAAATTAGGTTAGATAACGTGCTTCGTGCAGGGTCATGTTGGAGATAACCTAGTTTTGAGTTGTACTATTTTGATACAATCCATTTTATAGAGATGCTTGACTAGCGATAGGTTTTATACTTTAAGTATTTTGCTCTTTGATATATAATGCATATATGTTCAGGATATATATATATATATATATATATATGTGTGTGTATAGCCTTATAAGAGATTTTGTGTTTTTTAGTCATATAAATAAGAACTATTTTATATTTTATGTATCTTATATATATGTTACATAAATGTCCAAATATTATTGCATGTGAATCCTAAACTAGTATTTTGTCGGATCGTTACAAAATTGTAACTATTTTTTGTCATCTCACTTTTGGAAACATTTAAAAATACTAAGGACATCTCCGATCAAAATCTCAACTAAAATTTCTCCTCTCATTTAATCTTTAATAATATTATACACTTTTCTATAATATCACATCACATTACTTATTAAACAATTCAATTAACTTTTTTACGTTAATCAACAAACTAATGGACCTCGTAATATATCTATTAAACATAATAAAAAACACATAGCATCATATTTTAATAATATATATATTTTGAAATATGAGTCAACAAGAGAAGAGAAACAGATCTCTTCCAAGAACCTGATCACTTGTGGAAATAGAACCTCAAAAATTTATCTCCAACGCTGAAAATATACTTTTCAATGTTCTAATAGTGTTCATGTCAGATATAATATTGACGTTGGAGTTGCTCTAAAATCTCGCATTTGTAATGTTTGCTTGTGGAGTGGTCATTGCATGTGGAATTGTAAGGTTTGATGCGGTGAAGTTGTAATGGAGGGCGTCGAAGCTTGGATCCATCATGGGAGCATGGCGCACTTTCGATTCCCTTGCCGGCCATTTCGAGGATGTTCTCCGGTTGTCGCGTAGACAACGCAGCCATGCTGCGTTGAAAAGGAAGGCCGACATTGGATGACAACGAGATTATAGCATTGTGGACCCAAGGTTAAATGTGCAAGCTTAAACCGAGAATAGAGAAAATAGAAAAAATAACATGAAAAGGTTGTACGGTAAGATTGTGAACATAGATAAACCACTTATTAGACTCAATTACCTTACCACTCATCTCATAAATATAGAGACATTAAATATCATTTTTCCCCTAACACAATATAATTTTTTTTATCATAAATAAAAAGTATAATTCATATATTTAATTTTTTTTTAGTTATCTAAAATCTTTTTGGTGAGACAAATAACACAAACAAAAAGAAAGAAGAAACTAAACTATTAATGTAAAAATGCTACGCCTTGCAGGTCAACAATGATGTAAGGTGATCGCTATAGGAGGATCTTCAAACACCATAAAGGCTTCATCACTACGAGCACCTTGTATAACTAGGTAAAAATGCTCCCCGTGAGGGAGTGCCTGATATGAAAAACAGCATGGTTGAAGCCCCTGTTTGATGAATTTGCAGGAGCTCGGTTAAAAGAATTTCAGATTTCTCAATATATATGTCCACAAAGCCCTGCAATCCAAGTACCATTGGGATTCCAAATGACACCTCCAAAACTCGCTCTACATGTGTTACCAAGACCATCATCACGAGACACCCACCTCTTAGAATAAGGGTTCTGTTTGACTACCAAAAAAGCTAGCCGTAACTGATATTAACATAACAACCTTTTCATAAATAGCTTAATTATCTAAAATCTATAACTATCACAACCATAATATTTAATTTTGGTTTCCATTATTTATTTTTACCTCTTGATTAATATTATAATCACATTACTGTTTTATTTTAAATGTATATAAAAGAGTCGACTCACTTACTGTAATCTTATTTTCAATAAAATATAAAAGGTAAAAATTACCTCATTTTCACTATTACAATATATTTTTTATTATAAACCTAAAATATGATTTATATAATTAAAATATTTATTTTAGTTTTTAATTATACAAATCAAACATTTATCTTATATATTACATAAATTAAAGTACTATTAAAAGTTCAATTTATATTAAGAAATAATAATATAAAATAAATTTTAGCGTGTCGAAAAAGCAACATATTCTTCTAAAAAAAGGTGATATGTATCAGCAAAAATGTATGGATATATATAATGATTATGAAGGCTTATGAGGGGCGAAAGAGAAAATAGAGCTGAGCTGCGAAAACCCCAAAACTCTGTTTATCGTGTCTGCGTTTTCTTCTCAACCAGGTTCCTTCTTTCTTACAAATCTCATTCCTTTTCCCTATTACTGTTTCCTTCTTGTTTTTTTTTCTGACTTTTCTGTTTTATCCATTGTCTTATTCCCTTTATCTCTGATTTTCCGATCCCTTTGTGTTAGGGTTTTTTGCTCGCTTATTTTTCAATTGCATCACTGCAATTCATGATTTAGCTATACCTTTGATTGATATAGGATTAGATTCTCTATTTATTTAAAGAAAGAACTCTCGAGTAGATTGTTTCATTTTCTCCGCGTCGATTTACTAGTTTCTTATTAGATCGCAGTGCTCTTTGATGGGCCAGAATAATTTTTTCTTCAACGCGATCTTCTGATCATCTATCATTCGAATTTGTTAGGGAATAAGGAATTCTAAACGAGTAGCTCAAACTGCTGAGCTTGATTATATTTACAAAAGAAAAAGAAACATACGAAAGACTGTATTACTGCTTCTTTGCCTTGGATTTATTATGCTTAAGATATGATCGTGTTTCTTTATTTAAAGTCTGACCTGTTCTTGGTGAAGTCAAATGCCTAAAGTAGCTTGTTCAACCTATGAACCATAGACACATCTACAGAATGCCGAATTGGCATTTCTGACACGACAACTTGTGAGACATACTTTAGACACGCATAATGTCATAATTAGTTTTTATGTTGTTTAAACACCTCTTTGACACAACCTGAACACCTTTCCAATAAGACTTTAACATGAGCTAAGAGAGTGAAGTGAACTCACGTTTGATTTTAACTAAATACTTATCTAACACTCCTATTCCTAGCCACGTGTCTTATATGTTGGACATTAATTATGTCCGTATCTGTATCGTGATTGGCGTCTGTGTTGGTACTTCATAATGTTCAATTATTAAGCTTGTAATCGTTTTATTGCTGTCCAACTAAAAGGTTGTTAGGGAAAGCTGCTGTTTGGATGAATACACTTGTAAAGTATTTTTGTCATTTTAATGTATATTGTTGAGCATAAGGTCAACAATTCAGAATAGAAAATATGGTATACTTTGTTGGCCTTCTATGATTTTCTGATTCTGAGGTTTTGAAAGAGCTTGATAGGCTTTATTATTGTTTTTTGTTATTTTATTATCATTGTCATTACCTGCTTGCTGTTCTTTTCGGATGGAAGTTCTTGATCTTGTTTTCTTGGATATTTTATCGGTCTATGATAGAATGTGTTCTAATGCTGGAGCTGGTGTTTTCTTGTAGGACTATGATTAAACTATTTAAAGTAAAGGAAAAGCAGAGAGAACTCGCAGAAAATGCAAGTGGTGGACCACCCATTAAGAAGCAAAGTGCTGGGGAGTTGCGTCTTCACAAAGGTTTTCTTCTTTTTATTAATTAGAGTATCTCCTGTATGTTTTATCATGCTCAATGCTCAATTTGTGTGGCGTTCCAAAATTCAAAACAATGCAAACGGGGAGAGCAAGAGGAAAATAAAAGGTCTAATGCTAATACTTTTGCTCAATCAGACATCTCGTATTGTGAGCCATGAAAGTTTGATGTAAAAGCTGTTTGTGTAGCTTGAAATTGAATGAGCAGGAATTTTGTAGGGGCCTGGTCTTGAGGTGTGAGGGAGAGGTGGGGACAAGACTGAAGTCATAAATAGATTATATGAATTGATTTATTTGATAACAAATATAAGATTTTCAGCCTTACTTTTTTCAGTTACTAGGGATTGAGTTGATATAGGTTGAAAATCAAAAAGCATAGTTGACAGAAATTATTGTCCATAGTTTTTTTTGTTTCTGAGCTGAAAAACTGAAGTGAAAATTTGAAGGGTAAATTGCTTCATACAGAATGTCATACTTCTCTTTGCTTGTTGTAAAATCTGGATTTGTTTCACAAGATGATTTTTGTGTTACTTCCTATTTCTGGCTTAGGTGAGTAATTTACAATATATATTATTGTCTATTACTCTTAGCCAACTATAATTTACATTTTTTTCTGTCTAAAGTTATAATATCAAATAAGGAAATGTTATAATGGTAGATTGAACCTATATTGTCAATGGTGGCCGGAGCAGACCGACGCAGCATGGTGCCACTACAGGGAAGCTGTTCTGTAGCATTTTATTGAAGCGGCTGGAGTGGGTGCAAAAATGGCGGAGCAGTGTCATCGTGGGTTGGGGCGGCAGGTGTGGGGCGGCATTTGAAAATACCCTCTCTCAATGAGGGTTTTTGTCTTTCCCTTCAATTTTGTTTTTCTCTTATTTTTGACTTGTGCGCGTTGCTCCTTGTCAACCTCGAGACCTAAGCCTCTAACTTGTTCTTCTCCTCCTCCTCCTCACTTCTCCAGTGGCTTCGTTTTCTTCTTCTGGTAGCTCTGTTCTCTTCTTCCTGCTCTCTGACAATCTCTGAGAGGGGAGAAAAAGAGAGGGGGGACGGGGGGCGCTGAGTGCCTAGCTGCTGGGGTCTTAGGGTTGGGAAAATTGGGCCAATGGACCAAATGTTTTTTTCCCCTTCTCTTTTGGTTTGATTTGATGGGCCTAATTGAGATAGATTTTATTTTTAAGCACTTTGTTTCCTTAACTTCATTTAATATTTTGTTTTGGTACTTGAAATTTTATTATTGAAGATAATTAATGCATAAATTTTGAGTTACTTTTTGTTTTTGAGCTTATAATATTAATTGTTTAATATATATATATATATATATATATATA